TCTCACCCTCTTTTGAACTCTCCTATTATTCGCATTGCACAACATTCATTTAAACATTTTCATTTTTGTTACTTTTATTTACATCGTCTATCCATTTTGGTCTGATCACCACTTTATACGTTCATCCACCCCACTCCATTATAAAAGCACCACACTCTTATGTGGAGTATTTTTATAGCTAACAGACTACCTTTTTTGTTTTGTGCAAAAAGTTATGAGTTTCATTTGTTACGAGAAAGTTAGTTGTTGTTATGTTAAGATATGCCTTGAAGACCTCTCCAACTTGACTGCATTATTTGGATAAATACAACACTAGCAATTCTAGGTTACTGTTAAAAGTATACCTCGTTTACTTAAAACACATTGGATGTTTTTGGAACCTAGTTAAATAATTTTAGTGTACTACTCCCTACTTTTTTATTTTATTCCTTGCTTTCACTTTTCATATTTTGACTTACCACACTTATTAAGAAAATAATTAATAATATAAGTATTTTACTAAATTATCCTCTATTAAATTATGTCTTAGAATATCATTTGGAAAAACAAGTATTTAATGCTGAGGGTAAAACATGGAAAAAAATTATTGTTTTTTCTTGATATATCAAAAGTGATAAGTAAAAATAAAAATCTATTTTAAGAATAAATGACAAATAAAAGTGAACGGCGGAAGTATTTCTTATAAAGAGATTTGATATTTTTGAGGTCTTTATGAAAATAGTTAGTACAAATTGTAATCTTATTTACACACACAACATATATCTAGTATAATTTCATAAATAAATTTGAATCGGAGAGATGAATGTAAACATAGACTTTGTTCCTTATTTGTGATGTAGAGATCAGTTTGTTTTCGAACGTTATTTGCTTTGTCAGGTGAAATACTCATTATACAAGTCTTGCAACTTGTTCATTTGCTTTTTAGTTTCGAGATCTCTATCTTTGATCACTATATTTTGTTCTTTCAAATTGATTAATTAATATAAAGTGTTATTTATTGCTGCTAACCCCATGTGCCAAACTTAGAATAGAACAATTTCAAGATAGATAATCATGTTCTTGTTGTTTCATTTGTTAACAAGGAGTATCATAATAAGCTTGTTTGCTTATGAGGAAAATTTTAAATTTTTATGTGTTTTTTTGCTTTTAGATAGGAGGGGAATGTAAGATTATTTTCCATTTATATGGTTTCACGTGAAGGCTTTTGTCTTCACTTTATGGAATAGACATTTTTCTTTTGTCATTAAGACATAAAATATTCTTCTTTTGAATAATCATTTTCTGGCTTCAAACTTTACAACTATATGAAAATATCACTTTTCTAGGTTCCTAGTTATGAGAAAATGAAATGTTTGTCATGGTTAACTTCAAACCTCATTTTCAGTGTTATATTTGTTGGAAAAAATTGATTTAATCCACAAGTAAATTTATAAATAGCGATGAACACTTGCCTTAATTCATTGAAAGAATTCAATTATAGAAAACACCTTAAACTTAAGTCTTAGTTATTGAAAGATATAATACATAAATGTATCATTTAACTTAGCATCAGTTGACATCTATGTCCCCTCCCCTAACCTTTGATTATGCACAAGTAGGCGTTTAAACTTGTATAAAGTTGAATAAGTAGACACGTGTGTCTTACCTGACATGATACGAATAAGTTCAAGTGTATCGCAAGTGACATAATTGAAAATATGATAGCTCTAAACTTTTCTCCATGATAGGAATAACCAAATATTAAAGAGAGATAATGTTATGACTTTTGTTCGAGAGAAAAGTAAAACTCAAAGTTAAATATGACAAAAGAAAATCATGTCAAAAGCCTAACACACGTAAACAACTATATATTGCCCCTCAGGACTTATAGTGGAACACAAAGACAAATAGCCTGAAAACTAATAACACAATTACGCAACTAATGAAAATGCAACAATATCTACTTATAAATTAGTTCTCAGAAGGTGTTGGGGTGGATGAAATAATAGTAGGGATTTGGGGGAATGATAACATTGTAAATCCTGGAATTGTTGGAATTGATGGTATATTTGATCCAATTTTTGGAATGGAGGGCATATTAGGCATGTTTGGCATTTTTGGTATAGTGGGAAATTTTGGGTTATTGGTTTGTAATAGATCGCGACTAGCTTCATATTTCTCACTAAGTGCTAAGGAGATAATAACAATTATGAACATGCATGTGTATGTGCTTCTACCCATTTTTATTTTTTTAATTTTTTATTTGTAGTTGGAGTTGAGAAGATTTAGAGATGTTGTTTAATGGTAATGAGAAAGTAACTAAATGGATTAAGGTATTTATAGTGGAATATAATACTATTAGTTATTAATTGTTGGTTTTGGTTATGACTTTTGATTGGTTGGTTTGGAAACTCTTGGTAGATTTTTGTTGATGTTAGATTACCATCACCTAGGTGTTGTATTAAATTGAACCAATTGTCAAGTTTTAGATTCTTGGTAGATACCTATTTGTGTATTTGTGGTGACCTTTCTTGGTTTTAAGTTGAAATCAAATGGTTGTTATATAAATCATTTTGGTTTTAAGTTGAAATTAAATGATTGTTATATGAACCACCTCATAACTTTATTATAGATTTTTCATATGATTATTTTTGTGAATTCAATGTAGAATTTTTTAATTTGCCTCACTTTGTTGAGCATTGGGCAAATAAAAGGGCACACAACTTTTTCTATCTAGGCCCTAGTCTTGTTCTTTTAACATAATAGTTGTAGAAATAACTTCTTAAATAAGTCTTAGTAATTGAAATGTCACTTAAAGACTTCATAATCTTTTAAGATCTGTTTTAAGGTGGGATAGAGAGAAAATTATTGAACCAATCAATCTAACTTAAAAGTTAAATAGGTTCAATTATATTATTGTCTTCAATGTATAGTTATTTATGTACGATTTAAAAAAAAAAAAAAACAGTAGTGTGTGTGGCTGCTGGGATTCGAGCCCAGGTCTCCACGGCCACAACGTGGAATTCTCACCACTAAACTACAGCCACTTTGTTGTTTAAATTGTTCAACTAATAGTCTACTAGCATATTGTTTATATATCTTTTTTCCCCTTCTAAGCTAACATGTCACAATTGTGAAACTTGCTAGGTTTAGAATTGGGACATGAATATAGACGTGGATCCAAGAGTTAATATACTACGTAGTGGCGTGTTTGATTAGTCAAAAAAAAGAACGAAAGAATGAGATTTGAAACTTATAATCACAAATAAATCAGACATTTGTATAATTATAATCATCTCATTAAGAAAAGAATTAGTACAGCGTGATATACAAATTTTCACATTTGTGGTCTTTGAGATTCGTAAAAATGGTGACTCAAATTAGGATTTTTCATTAACGAATAAATATGTCTCCTTGTGTATGTTAATAGAGCATTCAGAATATTAAGGTACGTAAGAACCTATCCTAATATTAGCCGTATTTCTTATGAGCGATTTTACAATTTAATGTAATTTGTCTTTCAACTGTACCCAAAGAAAATAAAACGATCAAAAGTAGAATAAAAGCATCAATATCATAAATAAAGGTGAAACACACGAAATTGTAAAATTACATATAGAAATATGGTACAACACCCAACTATATATAGTCCCCCAGGACGTATACACAAAGACAAATAGCCTGAAAACTAATAACACAACTAATGGAAATGCAAATCATATCATCAACTCAACAAAACAAAGGAACAGAACAAATAACAAAACAGTGTAAATCACAATCCAATATAATTAGAATAATTAAGTAGACTAATCTACTTAATTAGTTCTTAGGAGGTGGTGGCGTGAAAAATGGGATAGATGGAATAGAAGTTGGGATTTTTGGGAATGATGGCATTGGGGGCATTGTGAATTTTGGAATTGTTGGAATTGATGGCATTGGTGGCATTGATCCAATTTTTGGAAATGATGGCATGTTTGGAATATTTGGGATATTTGGAATGCTTGGTATAGTTGGAAAACTTGGGTTATTGGTTTGCAATAGATTACGACCAGCTTCAGATTTCCCACTAAGTGCTAAGGAGATGATAGCAACTATGAACATGCAAGTGTATGTGTTTCTAGCCATAGTTTTTCTTCTTTATGTATTGTGTGTGTAGTTAGAGTTGAAGTGTTTGAGATTTTGTTTGATGGTGATGAGAAAGTAACTATGGATTAAGGTATTTATAGTGGGAGTTTGGTTAAGATTATGATGTGATTATACAGTGTTAGTTATTAATTTGTTGGTTTTGGACTTTTGGTTATGACTTTTGATTGGTTGGTTTGGAAACTCTTGGAGGCTAGGGGTAGATTGTTGTTGATGTTAGTTTACCATCACCTAGGTGTTGTATAAGATTGAGCCAATTGTCAAAGTTTTAGTTTCTTGGTGGACACCTATGTGTTCAACTTTCTTGGTTTTAAGTTGAAATTAAATGGTTGTTAAACTACCTCATAACTTTATTATAGATTATTTTTGTGAATTCAACGAAGAAGTTCAATGTGCCTTACTTTGTTGAGTATTGGGCTTAACAAACTGAAAAGAGACCATCTAGATGTGTTATACTCGTCCTAGAGCAAATTCTTGCTTTAAGTAGATGGTAATATTTGATTTTAAGCACAATAGAAAGGATTATTCTCTTGTTAATGACCATTATCAAACAAAGAGAGAGATCGAACAATATATTCGAGCAATCTTCTCACGGTATTTCAGAACCACCAATCACTGGTCTTATCAATTATAGAATCATGAATACACATTATACAATAAAATGTCAAGTTGTAAAACAAAGTACACCTATCTGATGCAATGCAAAACGATTAACAATATGTTTCGGAGCAGAATATGAGAATTCAGTTTCACAAAGATTTCCCCCCTTCAAATTGTACCTACAGGCTGGCCTACAGTAGTTGAGCTGCTAAACCAGTCACCACACGTTTTCCATTTTATAATGTTTTGCTTTTCTGGGCAACTCGGACATACTGTGGCACAAGCTGAAAACGAGCAATTTTGATAGGTAAAAGAACATCTTTTCAGAATGCCAGAGTGTTGTAACTTCATGCATCAGACTACCTTTTACACCACCAGGCTGAATCAGTTACAAATGCTTGCACAATCAGAAGGAGCGTCTACAGGCACTGCGAAGGACATTTGAATCTTCTCTGGATTTTGATCATGAACTGCCCCAAAACAACCACATAGTAACTGATTTAGAAGCTAGTCAATAACATAAAACTCATACACTTCCTTTTAGACATTATGAAGGCAACACTCAAAAAAGATTTAGCTCATCTAAAGGTTATCAAATGTTGCATGCTCCAGTAATATTACACACTTTAATAATATGCTCCAACTCACAAATGATTTTCTCAGCAAGCAATTGCAGCACCAAGATATTGAAGCACAAGACAAAATGAGTACACTGAATTAATTCATTTGGCACATACTGGGAAAGGTTAGATAGTAAGAACTAAGAAGATATCATTGATTCCAAAGAAGGCTGGAAAAAGTTCATGTTAGCAGGCTCTACCTGTAGTCTGTTCCAGGTTTGGGTATCACTTACCATGCATGATATGCCTCCTATTTTGGACCCTCGTTGTCTTGTTTTACATGTTAAACTTCTCAACTTAGCCAAAACTACTGAGACATTTACTTAGAAATTACTGCTCTGAAGATAAGAATGGAGTGTTTATTCTTTTTCTTTATCGAGTAAGATAGGCATCTCAGAATGGGAGGTCAAGATTTACCAGTAAATTTCTCCACCAAACAGTGGAAGTAACCTGTTCCTCCTGCTTAAATAAATGTACAAATAAGCGGAGACTGTGTGGATCACTGGCTTATTGACGCTCAGCCATGTCTATCATACTAGTTTCTGATGTCCTCTCAGGGAGGAAAACTGTTGTTAAAAAGTAGGAGGTTCATAGAAAAATCAACTAATGCACTAGAATTGCGTGTTCTAGATCCTAATAAACGTGCAAGGGATAAAAAGATATGACCCGATGAACCTCGATTACCTTTTTGCATCAAAAGACTAGGAAATATATCACAAATCAAACTCCTATGTTAATTGTCTCCTAAATGTTCTCACTCATGCATATCCAAAGTGAGGAAATTATATGTTCATCGAACACCAGAAACAGCTTTACCTCTTCAATGAAGACTTATGGTTCTCATGGTCTCGCCCACCATCCCCTGTGGACTGCTCTGCAAAAAGATATAACAAAGCATTAGTGGATATAAGCTTCCTTCAAAACGCTATTAACCCTGTAGAAAATTAAATTTCCAAGATAAATTGTGGAATTACTGTTCCATGGTACTTTTATGTCCTACAGCTTGGACATAATACCAAATTCATGTACAGAACTATTTGAAAGATTACACAAGTAAAGCATTCACACCGGAGTACAAAGTATTAAGAGCCTGCACACATCCTAATTGAATTTCCATGAAAAACTTGACATAAGATGTATCAAGAAAAAAATAAGTGTACCATGTCTCAAACCAGCAGATAGTGTGTGGTCGATACTATCAAGACGCCTCTGTATAGACTTCAAAAGTGAGTTCAATGATTTAATTCTTTTCCTAACACCAGAAATTCTGGCAGCATGCTGCATGATAAAGGGCAATGGGGCATCTTCCAGCAGCTTGTCAAGCTCTGCAGGTAGAAGCAGGACCACGAAAGAACAAGAAAATCAATCACATAAAAGCAGAGTCTTTGATTAAACACCAGACTTAGCAACCTGGATCTCTATTCCTAATAGCCTTTTTAATACTTCAGATATTATATAGAACAGTGATTTCCTTGCATCTGTAATAGTTAGTGAACCCACGGCAATTAGATTAGTCTTGATGCAATCGACGTGTAGTAACAAAACTTAAGGAAATACAGTTTTACATCCATTTTTCAATGCAATTGCCTGTCGCCACTAATAATCAGGCATAAAGAAGAATGGGCGACATGTCTACTTTACATAGAGAACACAAAAGTCTCACTGTACATACCAAAGGGAGAGGAAGGAGCTAAAAAATTATTTCGAGATATCTATTTTCTTTTTAAATGGTAAGTTAAAATTATTTCAAGATATCTTAAACTCTCTTCTTTTTTTTTCACACGCTGAATATAGTCCGCCAAGTTAATTTGACTTTTCAAAATGTATGGAATAAAGATTGACCTTTTTGCAAGCAACAATGTTATTAGACTTCTGTTAATATCTACGAAAGCAATGTGTATTTTTTTTCCTTCTCTTTTTGAAGCTTTAAGGTTCAATGAGAACTTAGAATATATCAAATAGCAACAGCAAAAAGGAAGAGGAAAGTGATTGTATTCATTCTCATGGAAACAGTGGTGAGCTTCAAATGAAACTAGAAGGTGCAAACAAAATTACATATACAACTATTGCCACCCAGCACACACACATATACCCCACCCCTGGTGATTTCTCTAACATGAGAATGGTGTGATGGCATTTTATGCTCATCTCGACCAATCCATTGAACAACTTGCTACATTGCACAACCACATCTGTTTGGGTAAGCCTGCACATCATATTGCAGCTGGATTGTTACTCCTATGGTCAACCATTCAGCTATTCAGTTGGAACATCCATCTTAGTAAAGATTATTTGGACTCTTTCTAAGATGTACAATAATAGAGCACTTTTGTTTGCAAATCTTCCTACTTTTTCCTTTTAATCCCTCCCTAGGGGCTCCCACCCATTTTGCTCCATTAGTAACTCAAGCCCACAGCTTTAGGGTTGAAGGTGGAGGGTTCTTTATCATCTGAGCAACCCACTCTTGTCAAGCTTCCTACTTTATACTATTCAATAGCAATTGGTAACAAAAATGAAATGTTTCAGCCTAATAAACAGTAAATGAATCCCTAACTCCAATTATACAGAGCATCAGAAATGAATGTCGAAATTAAGTCCAGTGAATACAATTAGAAGAAGGTGATGGAATGATACCTCCAGTGAGACGATCGAGAGTGGAAGAGAGCTGATCTTGACTACGAGAGGTGGCGGCAGCGCTGTCATCAAATTCCCGGATTATAGAAGATATTATGGTGGAAAGGCCCTTCGCTAAGGCAGAATTTGAAGTGTCGTTGTTGTCGTTTACACCGTCGCCGTCGACGGCAGTACTGGCTGAGTCATGCTCCGGGGTGTTGCACGGTGGTTTTTCTGGGGCTTCGTTCGACATTGTCTTTTCCGGTACTCGTCAGCAGGAATGTCAAAAGGGCAAAAAAATTTAAAAAATTGGCCTTAATTATAGTTATTCCTCATATTTGAAATTTTACTCCTAAATATTACAAAAAATATTTCTACATTTGAATTAAAAAAAATGCTCGTATGGTCGTAAAATGTTGGACGAGCCAATGATTCGAAAGGGGTGTGAATTATTTTTTGAGCAAGAACTACACTTTTTACTTTTTATTTGTCTGCGAATTTTAAGTCTTTATGGTAAAACACGAGAAGATTTATCATCAATATGAATGAAATTAGAAACAAACTTGAGTCCTCATAGTCCAAGATAATCAAATCATCAATAACAATAATAAAAGCATGAGAACTTTTTTACTATTCTAATGAACTAGATGACTGCAGAGATGGAATTAGGGACGAAGAACTTGTAGATTTCTCTAGATTTGACAAAAACGAAAAATTTTCTAACATGATTTGAATGGAAATTGAGCTTTCAACCCACTCTAGGCTTGCAGGGCGAGCCTCAGTGATTGCTAGCTAGAGTTGCCATAACTTGTGGTTGTAGTAGAGGCCTTCAATGGTCGTGACCTGAAATTGTCATAACATATGATTATAGCAATGAGAGGGTCTCAACAGAGAAAAAAAATTCAAAATAACGAGCATTCTGCTCACCAAGAAATTGAATTGTCATATTTGTTTACTAACACTTTTGTTTGGGATATTAAAGCCTCAAGTATAACACACTATTGTCCACATAAAATTAATGTTATGTGATCATATGTTAAATTTATTGCATTGTTAATCATAAGCGTACTTGATATTGCTTTTGTATATATTTAAGAGGATAGAATTAATATCTATTACATAATATGTAAATGTGACTTCATAATTTTTTTAATTTGAATTTAAACCGAAGCTAAACAAATACTAATTTTTTCAAGAAGAATGACTTTAAAATTTTAGCACACAAATATGAATAAGTTACCAAACTAATTAAATATATTGGGTAACTTTCTAACTATTTTTGGATGATTCACTAGATTTTTATGTTGTTTTGTTTGCGTTATTCTTTTTCGTAACTTTAAACACTTAAAATAATTTGTCTTTTGAGAAAGAAAAAAAGGAAAAGAGAAAAACGAAGGGCAAAAATGAAGGTGAAATTACTAGAATGTCCTGGTAGGAGCTAGGGTTAGTTACCACCCTATAAATACAAGAGGAGGCCGCATTTGCACCGTGGAAGCGGCGGAAGACGAGATAAAGAGAGAGCCGACGGTGATTTTTGAGCAAGCATGAGGGCCAAGGTCTGTTCTCTGATCCTAAATAATGCATTTCATGTTATCTTTTTCGGTTTTGTGTTGCTGTTCAGTTATGTTTTTGCTTAAACTTCAAATTCGCAATTGTTATTTGCTTGTAATGAAACGACTTGAGTATGCTGTGATGGATTAAAGGATTTGACTATTGTTTTTGTTGAAGTTGTTCATACACATCGTATTTTCAGTTACCTATTTGAACGCATTACCTGATTACTTGATTATAACTGATGTGTCATGCTTGGAGGTTTACAATACATGATTCATGGTGATTGGAATACTTGGAGATGATTCATTTAGCATGTAGGATGATAGACCTTTCAAATAGAGGAATTACAAATCACATAAGGTAGAATGGAAGCTCACCAATAGGATATATTGTACAATAGACTCGTTAAGGAATTCTCGAATTGGGAGGTTTATGTACTTCGATTCTGGATTATAATGTACCACAATGCTCAATTACCCCTTGGGCCTTGACAACTTTGATCTACAACAATAGTGATTATAGGGAGTAGGGACTCGTGTTAGCTAGCAAACGTCTTATGAGCATAAAGCTCCAAGGTCTTTTACAATGGTGTTTTTCCACAATCATCCTTTCTCCTAGCTCACACAAACTTCTTATGAGATCAACCAACAGACAAAACAGACTCCAACATACACAATCCCCTTCAATTCATCTCTTGCAAAAGTCAAGACATGGACTCATGGACGTATGGCTGATTGTTTACCGAACCTTAGAAATTTTTTACTTGAATCCTTTGGGAAAGATCCTTGATTTTCCTATAACTTGGGGAGAAATTGATGTTAGAATCACGTAATCAATGAAGGAGTAGCCACTGATCTTAGGATTCCCTTACCTTGAAGGAGGAGAGTGAGAATTGGAGCTATGGAACTTTGGTTCTATGTGTGAAATGAAAATATGAGCTCAAAATCTAATTAATATTTTGCCTCGGTGGACCTCACTTTCTATTTTTTCATTGTCTTCTTGATTCGAGCAAAAAAAGTTCGGAAAGGTGTTATCCTTTATGCATTTGTTAACCCCTGGGGCATTTTATGTTAATATACACTCAGCTGCTTTACTAGTCATACTTGTTTGTACCTTATCAAACACTTTTCAATAAAATATTCAAGTATTTGTTTGAAGTTGGACCATGTTGGGTCTTTCGAGATGTAATGTTGGGGTAGAAACATTCTGAAATCCTGCGTCTTCCATGGGAGAAAGTATTTGTTAGTCTTTATTTTAGTAAAAATGGGAAGGAATGTGTTGGGCTAGTGTGTACCCCGGAATGTAATATATATTTTTTGGAGATAGATATTTTGAAGAGTGTTGCCTTAGAGATTTAGAGGAAAGCTGAGACAATGTGATGTGCTATTTTAGCCTCTTTAGATAACAACCAAGTGTTTGTGTCAAAACTCTGTCGGCACCGCAATTTTGTGAACAGGGAGTCAGCTAAGGTTTTGTTTTCTTGTACCATTGTAGTTGTAACATCCACTAATGTTTTTATTTTAAATGCAGTGGAAGAAGAAGCGTATGAGGAGACTGAAGAGGAAGCGCAGAAAGATGAGACAGAGATCTAAGTAGAGCAGCAGGGGTCCGGATGCCTAGGGTGGTTTCTTGGTTGAAACTGCAGCCTTTTACTATCGCTGTCCATCTCTGTGGCAGCTCCGAAGAATGGAGGTTGTCCGTTGTTTGAAGCTGTTCATTAGTTATTCTACTATGTTCTATGAAGGAGCTTAGTTTTAGTTTTAAGTATTGCTAGTAAGGATGTTGTGTTTTTATGGTAACATGCTAGTTTTGTCAACCAAAGATATATGTGAGATTATCTTGAACCTTTTCTCTTTTAAGCTGACAATATTAAGAGGATTTCTGTTTATCTGGGCTACATTTCATTTGAATAAATTTTGGCTTTGAACGTTAATACTTCATGTGACGTTCTGATGATGAACAAGTGTGAAGTGAAACACATGATTGGTTTTGAATCTGAATCATCTTGAAGAACATCTATCATGTTAATGCAAGTGTTTACACCACTTTAACGTACTGAATAAATTGTAGCTGCATGTTAACTAGAATCAACAAGAGGTTTACTTGAGATTGATCAGAACTAAAATTTGCCTTGGTGACTTTGTGCAATATATACGTATAACATAAAAGATGGAAATTTTCATTTATCAGACCAAGTCACAAAAATATCCACTAGCTCAAATATGTTAGAAGTTTACACACATGTGGAAAAAGAAGTGTCTCAGTAATCCATGTTAGGCAATACACCTTGGGGGACACTAATTTTCTCATGCTCGACATTTACTTAGACTAACCATGGGTGTCATTTGAGCTGAGGGTCTATGGAAACAGCCTCCCTACCTTCAAAGGGTAGGGGTAAGGCTTCGTACACACCACCCTCCCCATACCATGTTGTAACGATGGGTGTCATTTGCGTATGCTCCAGGCTTTACCTCTTTCCTCAAGAGAAACTATACTAAAGAGACTGAAGAAGGCACTAGGCCCCAAGGCTCTTACCAATATGGACTATGGAGGTTCAGTTGAAGTTAGAAAACTGAATTGGAACTGAACCTAAGAAAAAATAATATTGACACTAATGAAAAGAATTTTGGGTTTTTCTACATATAAGGCTCAGTTAATATACAATGTTTCAAGGGGAAAGAAGCTGTAAGGTTTCACTTAGAAAGCAAATACTGTATGTTCTAGCATACAATAGGCAACTAGAAAGAAAGCTTTAGATAAAGGAGATACACAGCTATTTTTGTAACAGCAATTGAGTAGCAAGAGCAAGCTAGTGAGAATCGACAAGTTTCACCACTCACCTATTTAAAGCCGACTATGAATCAACTACCCTATCTGAAAACCAATTATCCCGAAGGTTTATTAGTTGTGTAAAGTTCCCATCTGACATACAGCATGAAAATAATTTTGTTGATTTGGTGTATTTAGCATTTGCTGATGAATAACCTTTGTTAGTTTATCATCCTGTGACCACACACCGTTGTTTTTGTGAAAGATCAGCATACTGCCATGTCCTCAAGCTCATATTGCATAGCAAGTCTTTCAACAGTATTTCTACTAATTACTTCTTTCCGGTGCAATTCCTTTAGGACTACTGATGCAAGCTCCTTGTGATCTTCATGGATGATGCCTTCGACTAGAATGGTATATGTTATCTCATTGGGCATATAACCTTTGCTGATCATGTCCTCAAATACCTTTAGCGACAGGTCTGTTCTTTTGGATTTGCATAGACCAAGCACAAGCGCATTGAAATTGTCAACATCAGGCCTATATCCATTTTCTTCCATCATGTAGAATACATCAACGGCAGCCACCAACATCTTTTCCAAGCACAATCCTCTGATCAATGATGAATAGGTGTAAGAGTCTGGAGTAAATCCGTGGGCTGTCATGTCATACAGAAGCTGAAATGCTGCAAATGTGTTCCCTTTCCTACATAAACCAGAAATCACAGCTCTATAGAAATCATGACTAGAGAAGCTTTGTTTAATCCTCAAAGCTTGGAGAATTGAGAAGGCTTCATGAACCAATCCTTCGTCACACAGCACAGCGATGGAATTATATGTCCCCTCATTAGGACTACAATGTCGTTCTAACATTTGGTCAAGACACTTGATTACTGCATCCACTTTCCTATCTTTGCAGAGACGTGCAATTATTGGATTGTAGCTAGCAGCAATTGGCTTGAACTGTTCTCCAAAGTACATTTCATCCAGAATCTTGATAGCATGATCTGTTTGTCCATGAAGAGCAAGCGAACTAATCAATATATTGTATGTTACAATCGATGGTGAACGATCTTCTCCAACCATCTCCGCCAGAAACTCATTCGCTTCCTCCCAACGTCCTTCAAAACACAAGCTCCTCAACAAGATATTATAGCTGACAACATTAGGATTAAACCCTTTTGATGGCAAGTTTCTAAAGAATTGTTTCGCCTCATCTATTCTTCCTTCTTTGCACAGCCCAGTTAAGAGAACATTGTAACTAACCAAATTAGGCCTTCCACCCTTGGCAATAATATTGTCTAAAAGCAACATTGCTTCATTAACCCCTTTTTCTTTATAACTAGCCTCAAGCAATATAGAATAAGTATATGCATTTGGTACCAACCCTTTCTGGATCAACTTTTCGACAAATTGCAGGCTTTTGTTCAAGTTCCCCCTCATACAAAGTCCTCTTATAAGAGAATTGTAAGTCACAGTATTTGTTGGATATCCATATTCTTCCATTTTATCAACTAATTGCATAGCATGACCAACATTTCCTCTCTTACACAAGTTATTCACCAAGAAAGTATAAGAAGCAGCATCAGGTATAGTACCAGAACTCACCATCATTTCCATAACTCTAGCAGCTTTCCTAAGTTTATTACAATTACAAAGATCATACAAAAGCTGAGTTGCATGAGTTTTATCAGGCTTTTGTCCCTTTCCCACCATGTATTCCAAATACAAAAATGCATCATAAAGCCTAAGTTCTTTGTTTCTTGGGTCATTTTTGCCTGACCTCCAATTGGGTAGAGTGAAAATACTGCCCTTTGAAGCTACTGGTACCTGTTCTTTTAGAGCTGGACTTAAATGGGAAGAAGCTAAATTTCTTGAAATGCTCCTACTTTGGAAGAAAGGAAGGAACTTTGGTATGTGGGTAGAAAATCCACAAGAATTTCTTGCATTTTCTGGTGATGGATTTGTTATTATGGATACTGAATTTAATGGGACTGCCATGAAATCAAGAAAATAATTGAAGCTAAAATGTCTAATGGAACCAGAAATGAATCACAAAAACCAAAAATATGATCTGGGTGTCAACTCTCTACAATCAATCATAAAGAAAGACAAGGAAACAGCACAAAAGAACATACAATATAGGGTCTTTTTGAGAATCTATGCCATTCTTGATTATGAAAATAGAAAGCTTCTTCTTCTCCTAGCCCTCTAATTGTACAGTATTCTGTTCCAGAGGAAACAATTTTTTTTCTTTTTGTAAAGTTTGTAAAATGGACTAAATCAGTTGAGCTCCATCTAGTGTGGTGTGGGTCAAGTCTGTCCACTCCCTCTCAGTGTTATCCAAAAGATGGGTGAGGGAATAATCATAAAGAGTCCCCCCCCCTTTTTTTTTTTTTGGTGGGATTGTGAATAATAGGGCATGGACGAGCTATAATAGTAAGAAACAGATTCGAACAAATTCATTAGCTTTAATTAAATTTTATATTTGTATGATAAATTTACTAAATTTTAAATCTTAAACCTTAAACTTCATTTCTAAATTAATAGGAAGAAAAGGTATTAACAGGAAATGATATTGGGTATGGCTTGAAAGTTGGAATGATGCACTTATCATGCAAAAATAAGTAGGTACAGTACGAAAACACCAGTTTTAAAATTTCATTTATGAAATTACATTAAATATGTCATTATAATACGAAAATACCCCATGTCAATTAGCTTGAATTGCTTAAAGAATGGACAATTTTTAGGACACTAATATTAGATTCACACTCGCGATGATTTTTTAAAGAGAACATATATACTATATATTTAGCTTCGCAGAAGTTTGGCCGATCGAGTATAAATTTTGAATGTATATATATAGGCTACGTATTGCTTCGCAAGAGTTGGTGGTATTACACATAGCCTATTAGGCAGCAAGAAACACTGTCCACGTTTTCATAAGTAGAAACACTTGTCTCCCTCTCTTGCAGAAACAGCCATGCTCATCATTGCTTATAAAACTCAGCATGGAACTGATTAAACAAAGTCCATTCTAGTGCCAATTTTGATACCTAAAAGGATAAAGAATAGTGAAACAATAAGGGTTATCTTTTGCAAAAGTTATGGCAAAGAGCAAAGATGATATTACTTATGGGACAGCTCAAGCAAGACTATCTGAAGATGATACTCTTAGAATAAGGTACAAAGTAGGAACTCCTCTTGAAGGAGGAAAGATTGCTGACTCTCAACCTGTTGATCTATTCTCAAGTGCTCGTAATATTGAGAATCAACAAGGCAAGATTGCTGATTCTCAACCTGTTGAACTCTCCTCAAGTGCACAAAAAATTGCAGCAGCAAAACAAAAACAATCCCAACAAGAAGAAAAACCTAAAGATGCTTCTGATTTGGAGGGAATGAATACTTACGTTTATGATGATGAGAATATGGATAAAAATTTGCCTCCAGCAGCTGCAACACTTTTGTTTGATAGCAAGAAGGCTGATAATTGGACAACAAACCCTCCTTGAGTTAAAACTAGACCGCATCATCAGCTTTTTAAGTTTTATTTGTTCTGCACATGTTTGTGAAGTATCTTTGGTTGCTTTGTACTGTTGATAATAGTAATAAACAGTTTTAACCTAGTTAAAATTGTCTACCTAATTTTGTAACACATCATAGGAAATTCATTCTATAACAGGAGCAACAAATTAATGGCAGCATATTTAAATAGCGACTCTATTGCGCTTATAAATATTACAATTAAACACAAGGACCAAGTATTGTCAAAAAAGAATTCGTACATCTATTCAGTATTAGTATTCCTACTTAGCCTTGCAGGCTCAATAAGTTACAAGCTACAAAAAATTCAATATCCAGACAAGACATCTAACCGTGCTACCAAAATTTTAAATCCACTCAATCTGGGCATCTTTTTCTTGAACTCGACAGCTTAAACGGAACGGCTGGCTCGTTCTTAGACCAGATTATAAGTCGACCCCACTGTTCACACTTTCGAGCTAGTATTACTATGTGCATGTGCATGTCAGGCAGCTCTCTCTCGGCTACAATGGGATCAAGCCTAACAACAATGTTGCCGTTTCATCAATGAGTGTAGATTAGACCAGCAAGTCTGCCTTGCAACAAAGCTCAACCGGATGCTAGGCAATCACTCAACTGCACTACTCCTCTTCTGTAGTAATGATTCCAGGAATGTGGAACACAATTTAGCAAGAGGAGGAAGATTGTGAGATGGTCCAATGAATAGCGTCTCCCAATATCTTTCTGATGGTACTGATGTGATCGATGGAGCTTGTTTTCTCTCTAAGCTAAAGTCTGGTAGGTCCCCGTACAGAGATGCATATCCGAACTTCCCTGCAAATAGGATAGCATATAGTTTCATCAGTCATGACAGTCATCTTTTTTAAAAAAAAAAGAAACACTGTTTTCTGAAGATTATTATCAAATATCAGGATATTCCACCTGCAGAGAATTGCTCTACAGCTCTGTCGGGTAGGTGTTCAATTCCCTAATGCAGCCCTTCCCCTTAGCCCTCTTACCCAACCCCCTCCCTGTTAAAGCTAAATAATGCATCATCTGATTTCTCCAACAAGTTTATGTACTAGAGATATAGCTTGCTTCCTCTTAAACATCGTTAATCCATAGAATTTGGTAAAAAATTTCAAGAATATGTGCTTGATCTGACAATGATGCCATGAAGAACCAAGGACCTTGTGGGCAGAGGAGAACAAATACATCAAACCCATTTCCTTTCTCTCGTAAGGTTATCACGGGACATGTCGTATTTTATTTGTTAAGATGATGATAGGATATGAGTTCAAATGATGAAATGAGGATTAATATAGCTGATCCAACTTATTCGGTAATGAGGTGTAGTTGTTGACTTCTTATCACAACACACCGTTCAGCAACCATACATCTTTGTGCCTCTGGGCTCGTTATTTTAAGGCTTGTAGCACCCATTATAAAGTTTTTAAAAACAAGGTTTATTTCAAGTACTTGGGTATATTGATCCAATCCAAAGTATTCTGAAGCAACCTATCACATAAAATAAACCAAAAAAGGCCCATGTACATCCCCAGATTAATAGACACCAGAAACTGAAATACATAAAAGCTTTGTGTCAGACATGAACTTAGCAGAGAAGATGGGACACACCTGTTTCCTCAAGATCAGCAAGATTTCCTCGGCTTATCTTATGTATATGGGTGTGGCTGTTGAGTGGATCAAAAAGCATATATTCATGATCAACGCTGAGGTAAGCTAATAGCAACTGCACTGATCTGCCATCAGTAACACCATCCTCTGACTTAGGACTTCCACGAATGAAGGCAAGTGAAGCACCTTTTGCCTGTAAAGAGAAAGGATGAGATGCAAAAAAAGTAAAGATGTCCAGTTCTCGTCCCATCTATAGAGAGAGTTTCCACCTTAGAAGATGTGATACCTCTCCCAATATATGAATTAAATTAGAAAGGCACAAGAAACTGTCAGAGGGGTTAAGGTGACAGGAAATTAGAAGAAGGGCATCAGAAAACATCTGTACCCTGGGTGCAGGAAACACAAGGGAATGAAGACAGACAAAACCTAGGTCAGGGTGAATGTAATTATTTTCTCAACAGCCTCCATAAGATCAAGATCTACCACCTCTAAACGAGTGCAAGGTGATTCGATTCCCCATTATAACTGACATCAAGTTCCCAACTTAAAACTTCAGAAAGAAACAAGAACTCAAAATTTGAGACAGGAGTCAATACCTTTCTTACAAACCAGATCCCTATGGGAACATGATCTGCAGCCCTGAATAATAAGATCACTCCATCGCCATCCAGAGTTGTGGCTTCATTAGACATCAGAGGTCCAACTGGCTTTGGGAGAAGGGCCAGGATGGCAAACAAGGAGTCATCCATCGCACAAGTTACAGCTGCAGTGATTAATAAGATACTAGTTAGGATGAAACATTAAGAAAGGTTTTACAGTAATGTATGACACATCTGCCTACAAGTTCACCATTAATCTGCTAGACTTATTCAGACCTTTTAGTTAGATTATACATATAGATGCAAATTTAGGAAAACTTGTTTTAGAATCCGAGTCTCTTCAAGTCATTTCCTGCTTTCCTATTCCAACACAGCAATTCTTTTTTAATAGGAATTCCAATGCAGCAAAATTGGACTGTTAGCACAAGCAAGATAGCTTAAGATTTCCCCAAAAGACCTGTCCTGAGTTTTGCTTGAAAAGAGAATCAGCCTACTAGTTGTACTCCAAGCCATGCAACTCTGATAACAAGGGCACTGAGATTCATGGTATAAAAAGACTGTCACAATGCATAATCTACAATTGGCCTGACTACAGAACTAATAAATCAATACATCCACCAGCCCTTTGCTTCAGTTAACTTTTTAGCAAGATTGCATACTTCATTTGCATACGACACCTAATAATTCAAGAGCCAAGCTCGTACTTCGGAAGCAAAAATTATGAGAACTTCAAAAATGGAGAAATATGGTTGGCAATTACACTTCCGATGCCAGTGTTTTGAAGAAAATCACAAAAAACAAAAGCATCCATGGGGCTTTAAGCAAAAGTGAATCACACGCTTCATGACATTAAAAATACCGTACATAGAGAATTGAGCACTATAATGATCAAGTTGCACTTAAATAACAAATTTCAGTATCTGACATACAATTGCGTCGATATTAATCCATTTTCTCTCATTAACTAGAAGCAGAACGTTAGAAATAAATGATAAGGATTAGAGAATTATCATAAGCTGCCAAAAGCAAGTGGTTTACAGTTGTTTGAAGTTTATTGGGGCGAAGTATGATAAACAAGAGATACAAACCTTCTATCTTAAGTTTGTAAGACCATGATACAGACAGCTTTGACATGCTCCACACTGATACTTGTGCCTTAGAACCTTGTGATGTGGTTACAACATACTCTGACTTCCCAATAAATGCTAAGGAAGAGATTGGCTTCACAAAGAAAATAGTTCAAATGAGAAACATTTTGTATAGAGACAGAAAGAATGATAAAGGTGTATAAAGTGCCACAAGGAAAGCATCAGAACTGCAAATTAAGATTTTCAAGATTTGTTTTCGGTTGTTTCATGGGCTCATATTTCCGTTTTTTGTTTAACAAAAAGGATAACTCTCAGAGCTAACTTCTTTGCCGTCCAATGAAGTTACCAGACAGCAACTCAGAAGTGAGTCATAAAGAACACTTCAAGTAAAAAGGTTTCAAATACTAGGTAAAAAACTTTCTTTCTCCAAGGTAAGCAATTTAAATTTGAACTCGGAAGTGTAAAATTGTTATTTTTTGATATGTCAATAGTGTAAAATTAATACTGGCATGCCAAGAACTTACCTCAAGACTCTCCCCAACTGTAGCCACAAGAATATTCCTCTCTGGATCCCACAATGTAATAACTCTTTCTGCAGCTACAGCCAGAACAGAACCATCTCCAGAAAAGGCAGCAGCTGTCATTGGCTTTTTCCTATTAAAGGAGAAAGTTATGTCAAACAAGAAAATAGAGGCCCTATCAATTTATTATGTTGTAGTCATCAACAATGGAAAAGTTCGAACGAGCCACCATAAATCATAGAACACCAAATGCAAATGACAGCTAATTGCTAGTGTTCATGTGCAAATAAACAAAATGAACAGCAAAGGAAGTGGCATTTTCATCTAGAATCTCTTCTCTCAAACAGTTAGGATTTTTTTACATGGTTGGGCAATTTTTTTATCTGACCATTGTAGTCATCCTTTAAAATTTAAGCCAAACATACTTGTAGGAACCAACAGAATGGCATGTCCATCCAGCGTTTTGCATCTGGTCTTTTTGTTGCATCTCCTGACTGCTGATCCAAACCTACCAAAAAACACAGTGATGTTAGTGAACACAACAACATACCCGGTGTAATCACACGAGGTGTGTCTTGGGAAGGTAGGATGTAAGCACACCCTACACCCCTGCCTTTAGGGGTAGAGAGGTTATTTCAAAAGAATGTTTTCAAGAAGGATTGCAAAAATAATATGACAAAATAATAGCAAGATATAAAGCAAATGAAGCAACGGGTAGTAATGCACATAGAAGAATAACAGATTACGCGACTACTAAATAGCCCCTAACTTTCCCACACGAAGTGCGACAACACTAGGCTACTTACTAGCCTTCTACCCTAATCATCAACCTCCAAAACTTCCTATCTAGGGTCGTGCCACTCAGTAACCGGACGTTGTGGATTGCTTTGTCTAAATTTTAATCACCTCCCAATTCTTTTTCGGCCTATCTCTGTCCCTCATAATTAATGTTACAACCAACCTCTCACACCTCCCTAGTGACGCATCTGTGCACCTCCTCTTCACATGTCCGAACCATCTCAGTCTCGCTTCCCTCATCTTGTTCGCCACGGAGGCCACCCCTATGTTGCCCTGTTTTTTTATGAAGTAATAAACTTCATTAGTAAAGGGTAAAAGCTTGCCTGTATACAAGAAGTACACCAAA